TATTAATTGTGTGAAGAAAATTATTTAATAGACTTTATAATGTGGGACCATTACAATCTAACTTCACCTTCTTTTAATTCTTCCTAATTCAATCTTTCTTTGTTCCTTTTTCTTTATCTTTTTTGTCATCCTTTTTCTTTTCTTTTCCATTACATGTAAAATTAAATTATACAAATTCTAATTCCATAAGATATTTTTGGATACAGTTTATCAATGATTTTCTAATTTTGAACTTGTAAAATAACATTTATTTATTTCTATTATATACAAATCATCCAATTCTAAAATCAAGCACACAATTTTTTTTTTGTTAATATCTAGCTTCATAACACAAAATTTGTTGGGGATAATATTACATTTGTTTTCTTTATTTTAATTTCATTATAGTATAATACACTATCATCAATAGTAAAAAAATAATATGATTTGCTTTTTTTTCTTCACTAATATATTCATTTGAATATTATATTTCAAAAAAATAAATGAATTTGAATATTATATTTCATAATCATATTTTAAAAAATAAATGAAATATTTTTTATGATGAAGACTATTCTTTTCAGATAATAACAAATCTTTATTTGATAAAGTTTGTATTTTTATGTGATAAATATAGAAAAATAAGTTTCGTGTGATAAATTTAATAGTTAGATGAATTTTATGTATTAAAAAATAAGAAAGTAATTTTTCGTGTTATAAATTCTTTTGATATTTTATAGTGAAAATATGACATAACACTATAAATAAGTTAATTACATACAAGGTAACTTTAGAAACTTTGTTTAATGTGATACTTCTCACAAAGTTCAGTAATATATTTGATACTTCTCACATGTGATTTTTTTTAAAACCATTTTGTTTCAATGATTAATTTCACTCTTAAACATCGTATGTGTGGATTTATTTGCTTATCATTATCTGAATATTTTGTTCAGTTAATAAAAAATATTCTTGTGTATATTTTTTTGTGTATGTGTATAGTTCATTCAATTTATTTTTAAAAGTAAATATTATTCAGTTAATAAAAAAAATTGTACGCTTTAGTTTAAAAAATATTTTTGAATTGTACCTTAAAACAATGTTCATGAGGTACCAATGCATACCTTTGAAAAATTATTTTTTTGCTTAAAATAAATCTCTTTATTGAAGAAGACAATTAAATTTCTCATTAATAATAACTACAAATGACTATCTTATCTACTTAAGATTATACTTAATTATTTTGCACTACAAATTTAGTAAAATATAATAATTAAGCGTAGAATCAAAAAAAATTAGTTGAATTTTTCTTTAAGTATAATCAACTAAATAGATTAGTCTATATTTATAATGGATGTTTTTCAAGAGAAAAAATAATATCATTTTGGAAATTAGATATTTCTAAAAAATAACTGATGAAAAGACATTTATAACTATGTCATGAATAACACATTAGATTTTTATATCATAATCATTCCAAACAAGATTTAAGATATATAGAAATTGGTGAAATTATTTTACTAATTTTAACCATGAATACAAAATACAGTTACTCCAATAATATTAATTAATTGAGGACGTTTCAAAATAAATAAATAAAAGATCACTCAATACTTACTTATCAATTATAATACTTTAAGATAGCTGTATTTTATGTATGATACTATATTAAATTAGAATATATTTAGTATATGTAAATAAAGTATAACATAATTAGGATATACATTTAAAAAAAATTATTTTCAAATAATATAGAATTTTCATTTAACTTAAATATATTCAATGTTTAAGTTAAAGGGAAAAAATGTCCAAAAATAAACTAGTTTATAGAGTGAACGTGTCCTTTTACAATTTTGGCCAAATTATGGCCAAATTTTTTATGCCCAAAAGGATTTTCCCATTAGGATATACATTTTAAAAAATATTTTCATTTAATATAGAATTTTCTATCGAAGGAGACAATTAAAATTCATGTTAATAATATATATAAAAAATATGTTTTTAAATATAATTTGAAAAATATTTCAATAACGATAATCAAAACTCAAAATACTTTTAGAATTGATAAAAATCAACACATTATAGAACTAAGTAATTAATTTTTTCTAAACATAATAATTAATTATGTAGTTTAATTTTTTAAATTATTAGTTTAATTTTTAAATATGTAGTTTTAAATTACGTAATTTAATTTTTTAAAACTATAATATTTAAATATGTAGTTTAATTTTTAAAGTCATAATAATTAACAAATATCAAAACAACAACATTAATGTGTAACTATCTTGGGTTGTTGTGAAATAAGATCGACACTTATGAACCATATGATTTTTAGTATTTCTTTATTGTATCAATATCTACCGATTCTAAAGTATTTTGAATTTTGACTGTTATTATTGAACTATTTTACATAGTATTTAAAAAATCATTAAAATTGAGTTTAAAAAATTATTTATATAGGTAATTTAAATTTATTCATATAATAAATACAATAAAATTACTTAATTTTAATTTTTTTTAATCAGTTTCAAAAAAATATTAATTTGGGAGCAAAAAAAATTATTGTGACTACAACTATGTATACTTAATATTTTAACATATCATTTAATAGCAAACATATTTTTAAAATATAAAACAACAAATAATACTAATAAAGAAAAATATACGTGTGATGAAACTTTGATCTAGTTCATGTTTAACAAATTTGTGTTGTCATTATCATCAGAGAACTATGAAGATGTTTGTCTTTCAATTATTTTTTTTATAAAAGTTTATTTTGAAATCATAAAGAACTTTCTATATCCTTTCCTAGTTATTATAATTTTCAATGAAGCACCATCAACATTTGTGTTATAATATGATTCATTAATTTTAATGAGTCTTTATTTGTGTATGATGTGATTCATATACGTTCGAGGATATGAAAGTAATCACATAATGGAGGAAACATGATGGTAATTTCAGTTTTCTTCATATTTCGCTCACATACATTAAGTATAATAAGATAGAATATATTTTTATCATTTAGCTTTTTTCTAGAAAATTCATGCATAACAACAACTCCTTTAAATAAATAAGAGTAAATTGGTTTGTCAACTTGGTGAATTTCATAGTTTTAATTTGAGTATTATAGATATAAATTTTTAATATTTAAAATTTAGATATAATTTATCTTTTCACGATTAGAAATTATAAAGTAAAATAGATAGCCTACACTTTACTCCTCTTTTGTACTTTTTAATTTTTTTATCATTAAGAAATAAGAAATGAAAAATAAATAAACAAAAAAGAATAAGTAGAAAGGAGGAAATTTAGAAATTGAAAAAGTTATATATTTTTTTAAATTTTTTACTACTACTATCATATTTTTAATTTTCTTTTTAGATCTTGAAAATTTCAAGTAAGAAGAGTGGGTGAGACATGTTTTCTTTGGTGAATTTTGTGGTTTCTTTCTCATGTTTAATGATGAAATCATCAATAATTAATCTCATTAATCATTTTCAATGTATTGGAAACATAATTGAAGAATATATTCAATATTTAAGTTAAAAGGGTAAAAAATGTCCAAAAAATAAACTAGTTTATAGTGTGAACATATCTTTTTACCATTCTGGCCAAATTATGGCCAAAATGATTTTTCCTCAATAATAAATTTCTTATTATAAATTTTACATTTAAACTAAAATTAATAACCGGCTTTTGTCCTTGAGTGGGTGGGGAAACGTTTCTTCAATTAATACTGACTCTAGTACCCCTTTTACATTTATATCTTGGGGTTGCTTATTTATTGCTTGGACAACTACTAGTTATGGGAATATATTTTATTTTATTTAAAAAAAAAAAAAACTCAGTTGAAAAATATAATTAATACCTTCTTGGTTATGCAATTAAATTACCCGATTTAAATTAAATATAAAAAATAAATACCATATGATTATATGAACCGAAACTCTATAAATACAACACAAATATAGAGAAGTGGTAAGATATTTAA